CTGCTCGAATTAAAATGTACTTATTGTTTCAATTGATTAATAAATCACAAATCTAGCCTGTCTACGGGTATACAAAAAAAAAAAAATTAAAGTGCTAGAAAATATTTTAAACAAAAGTTTTTTCAAAAACAAAATAAATATAAAAAAATCTTAAATCAGATATTGAATTGATACAATTTGAGTTTAATAAATAAATTGATAGAATAAAAAAAATAAATATCAAATATAATATAAAGTCAAAACAGAAATCTAGAACAAAAGTAATATACAACTATAGTATAAATTCTAATAAACTATATATATCAGTTAAAAAAAATGTAATCTATATAAAATAGATTAAGGACAAATTTATAGAATTAGTGAACTTATCTCTTTATTAGTAATAGGTAGCAATAAGATGTCTCTTAATTAAAAAAGAGACTAGTTTTCTATTAATAAAACAAATAAAACAAGTAACTTAGACATAAAAGAAAAAAGTTTCAATTCATAACAATAGATTCTAACAATCTAAATAAATTAAATAACAGAATTAATACAATAGAACAATTATTTCAAAAACTTTTTAGATTTAAGAATAAAAAAAATATTAATTACTTATAATAGTTATATCAGTATAATTATAATATTCTAAGAAAAATTACAATCTTCAAAAATTACTTAAAAAAGATTAAAACTTATATAGAACAGATAACTATATTTTTTATTATAACAATACAATAATTATCAGTGTATTTTTTTTTAATTTTGACTCAATCTTGCTTTATTTGTACTTATGTAATATTAATATATAAAAACTATTTTAGGATTTACTACATGTTTACTATCAAATAAAACTCAATAGAAACTCTCTAAATGAAGGTGCTCACCTTACAACTTGTTGTCATCCTAGAATAAGGAGCTAACCTATCAAAACTGGACTAGTGCTGAAAGAAATTTCAAATATAAAAAAGTTGTCTATAATATTTGTAATCCATTAGTTCATAAACTTGATCAAATATATAAATTGATCTTTTATGTGTTTTTCCTGGTATGTAAAGGTAGGATCTTCTTCTCTTATTTTATATTTTACTAATTTTTCTTTTTTTTTTTTTATGATTCTCTCACTAGCTTTCCACTCTTAAAAGGTTTCATATTTTTTTGTCATATTTGATATAGATATTTAATGGTTTAAGATAAATTATTGCTATATAGTTTTTTTCATTCTATTCTATCTGGAATTGCCATTTTGAGACTATATATAAGTTCTTTAAAGAAAGTTTTTCTAATGTTTACTATTAAGTATTCTTTATATTTTAGATTGTTTTTATTTAAAAACTGGATACTAAATAGTTGAAGTCCTTTCTCCTCTGTGTGGTTTTCTACACAGATTATAGTTATGTTCTTTAGAGCTTCTTCCATTTCTACTCTGAGTTATTGGCAGAGAAAAGGATGGGTACTGGTCTTTGGCTCTCCACATTTATTATATTTGTTGTTTTTATAGATGGATAAAAGCCTTATTTATAGCTTACTCTTGGTTAATAGTTAATTATTCTATAGGCTAAAACAGAGCTTTCTTAGTTTCAGGTCTTTCCTATCTGTGTGATGGTTGCTTATCTTTATGGATTATAAGTAATAATAAGTCCTTAAAGTATTCATTATATAAAATTTTACAGATCACTTATATCTTTTTTTGAGGGACAAAATTCATAACTTTTTATTTTAATAGGAACAAAATTCAGAAAATGCTATAAATTAATAATTTGAATAATAGAAAATAATTATGAATAGTTTTTTTATAGTTATTAATTTAAAAATTTTGATGTTTTCTAGTAAGGAACATTTGACTTTTGTTTCTATTTCTTCTTTTAGGGACCTATCTTTAGTTATAAATATGTAGTTGTTATTTGCCAGGATTTCTTTGATTATTCATTTGCTAAAATTATATCTAGTTTTGTTTAGTAATTACCATTTTGTCAGATAGATGATGTTTGTGAGCTTTTATATAATCAATTTTATAGAAACTTCAGTGAAATAGTTGTTCTATTATAGTGCCATACCTATTTCTGGATCTTTAATTCTGGTGATTTCAATTTTATTCTCTTCTGAATTTATATTTTTCCATGAATCTATCCATACTTACTGATCTGCTATTTTATTTATTTGATTCTGGAGAGGCCTTATACTTTGTGTAATAAATAGTTTGATTTTTCTTTACTTATATAAGATCTTAATCTAAAGTAAGAAATTCGAATTTTTTTTCATAATCCTATTTTTGTCTTTTTTCTAGACCTTTTCTATTCCATTAATGGTTGCTTGACTGTTTGTATAGATATTTATAACACTGTATTTTTATAATGTACTTGGAGTTATTACAATTGTCACTATTTCTACTCTGGTAAATAATAATTAGTGTATACAATATTAGATTTCAAAAGTTTATTTTAATTCAATTCTTTCTTTTGTTTTTATTTTCTTGAAAAGAAAAATTTGTATAGTGAAAGTTAATGATTTTATAAATACTTATCTCTTTCTATATTTTGTAAAGTGTTATTGAACTTGTTTCTTATAAGTTGTTTGATTTTAAAAATAATTTCTTTTGTTTTTTAGCTATTTTCTCTTTTTCTCAAAAAATTATCAAAAAATTTTGTTTTTTTAAAATTGAAAATCAATTAAAAGTGTTTTTTTTTTGTTTAGCTATAGTATTCACTATTTATAATACTATTCTGATCAATCCAATTAGCTTGTTTCTTTATTTTTTTATAATAATAAAAAATCCAAAATCTTTTATTATATATTTTATTATAATAACTTACATTAATTCGAAAGCCCAAGTCTTAGCCTATTAAAATAATCCAAGAACTATTTTGATTGGTTCATTAATTGCATAGATATAAGCCACCAAATTTCGTGTCTCGATTTAGTCATCTCTTTTTATCATAAAAACATGTGACGATCATACCGTGATTATGCATAATATTCGAGATTATCACATGTGTCGATCAAATCAATGATAAAAATGTGATTATACAGAAGTTACATCACAGTGATTATCGCACCACCTACGTACAGTATGTCCAATATACAGTATATTAATAACAACAATAAAAACGTGACTTTAGAATAAATCAACAATAAATTATTTTTTAAAAAAATAAATAAAATTAATGATCCAAAAAGAAATTATTGGTTTTTTTTTTTTTTTAAGAAAAAAGTTTAAATTCGAGAATTCACGTGAATCAAGGTAATTATGCCAAGTACAGCAATAAAATAGAGCCCAAAAATCAACCTTTGTGTTATACTGTAATTAAGCAGACACTGTATATTTGCATTTAAAGGATCTTTTTTTCACGTGATTACGCGCAATGGTAATTGTCCAACCCTTAAACAAGCTGATGAACTCTATACATATTTCATTATCTAATTATTTTGTTCATGCACCATCTATTTTTCGAATTACAGCACCAATAAACAATCAAGGCATAATTACATGAGGACACAGAGTACGTGCTATGAATAGCAAGCATTTTGGGGAGATTTGTGTTGCAAGTCGATAAAGTCAAATATTCGAATCAAATGTTCTTTTTCCCGATAAAATAATAAATTTGGTTGGTCATTCAGTATACCATGAAGACATTGTTGTTTTTTTATTTAACCTCTGATTAAAATCGAAAGAATACGGAAAATAAGCAGCAAACACTTTTTCTGGTTGATATTATGGATTAATTGAGCTGATTTTCAAAGACACGATTGTTCTATCGTACATACGCATTTAACTACATCTTGCAATTACTATTGTCATTATTTCTGAATTTGGAAACAATTAGGTCCAATCACATTCAATCGCATCTTTACTTATAAGGGACGCATAAACATAGAGTGGTATAGAAGGTATTTCAAAAATGTCGTCGAACGATATTCGAGTAGTTCTCGCCATAGGTATGGACTTCTTTCTTTGAGCATCAAGCAACGAATGAAGAGTTATGCATTATACAGTATTTTCATGACGTGACATTTTTTAAATTACTTTAGATTTTGGAACTACATATTCGGTAAATATCGCATTCATTCAGCACAGAGGTTCAGAATTTGTTTAAACAACATAAAATCTACTCTTTAAATAAAAGGGATTTGCTTACGCTAACATGGCCAATCCGGAGATTAGCACAAACGAAAGATGGCCCGGTCTCATAGGCCAATATAAAGTAAACACCGCGCTTCAATATGACCGTACCTACACGAATGTTCAAGCCTGGGGATATGAGGCGCTGGCAAAAAAGCGTAACCATCGAAGCTCTGGACTCACTGAAGACCTCAAACCCGTCGAATTGTTTAAATTTCATTTGGGTGAGATTCCTGATGAGGAAAAACCTTCACTGCCATCATCATTGAATTATAAAAAGGCCATTACAGATTATCTTCGAGAAATTGGTAAATATTTTTTAAATACTAATTTACACATTTTTAATTTATTAATTTGTTGGTTTATCTGTTTAAAATTGCAGGAAAGGTAGAAAAAAGCCCAACACATTATGTGTATTCATGCAATTTCTCTGGTTCATTTTAATATACCACGATTACCCATTACGCAGGTGGCCAAGGATACTATTCACATTTGTTGGCCAAACGTTAACTTTATGAACAATGTGCTACTTATACTTACAATACCTGCAGAATTTACTGATAAAGCCAAGGGAATAATGAGGGAATGCGCCTTAAATGCCAATTTGATAAGTACCTTACGATCCAGTCACCTTCAATTTACAACCGAACGTAAGTGCGCTCTAATATGCAACTCGATTTATTTATTTAAACATAAAATATCAACCATTCAACCAATTATAATGTACCAGCGGAGGCGGCTGCTTTGTATTGCATGAAAGTGTCGAGCGAATACTTTGATAACTTGGTCGGAAGTATGTTAATTTCCTGTTTATCTATTTATCCATAACGCGAACATAGTTAACATTGATTTTATTACGTAATTATGAATTTGTAGAGTCTTTCCTCATATGTGATTGCGGAGGAGGTACAGTAGACTTGACAGCCCGTACAATTTTAGAAGATAATAAATTAGGTGAAATCACTGAACGAACCGGCGATTTCTGTGGAGGCACTTATGTGGATCGAGAATTCGTTAGATACCTTAGAGGTAAAGTTGGTTCAACCGCCATCGACCTCCTCATAGAAAATTATTACGATCAATATCAATATATGATTCAGAAATTTTGTAAACACGTGAAATTACCATTTACCGGCGACCGAAATACTTTCAAACTCGTTGAATTCGATCTTGCGGAGTATTGCAAGGTGATCAAGCAATATGTAAAGGGGGAAGAAAAATTGATATTAGAAGAAGATGAATGGATTTTAGAGTTGGATTTTGAAACCATAAAATCGATGTTTGATCCTGTTGTTGGAAGAATCATTCGGTTGATCCGCGGTCAATTAGCCGCCGGCGGGAATTGTTCGGCAATGTTTTTAGTGGGGGGTTTTAGCGAATCCAAATATCTGCAGTCACGAATTAAGGAAGAATTTGATTCACGGGTAAAAATCATTGCTGTACCTCGACAACCCATTGCAGCCATTGTTCGTGGAGCGGTCGAATATGGCTTGAAGATAAATACGATAAAAACTAGGGTATTGACATATACGTACGGCGTGGATTGTAGTCCGGAATGGACTGATGGGGATCCACCGGAACGGAAAACCAGTAAAGGTCGGATTATTAAGTTTTTTGAGATGGTCAAAAGAGGAACTCGGGTTGAAGTGGACCAAGAATTCACCGAGAGGTTCGTCCCCGTTTTCCCAGATCAAACGGGAATTACATTCAGTGTTTATGTCACCAAAGAATATAATGCGGTGTATTGTGATGACCCAGGAATGCGATTGCTTGGAACCCTTAGTATTGACCTACCGGATACTCATCTTGGTTTGAACAGGCCAGTACTGTACACACTTTCCTTCGGCCAAATGGAAATAAATTGTGCCGCGAAGAACCAAATCACCGGTGATATTTATAATACTACTTTTGCATTGGATTTAGATTGATTGTGTGAAGTCCACTTAGCGTAGTATGCGAAAAAAATTTTTTGCTGTTTTTCGAATATTGTACAAGTAACAAAATTTTTTTGAAAAAACTAAAGGAACTCGTTATTTATAAATTCAAAAAAAAAAAAAAATTTTTTTTATTACTATTATTATTATTATTATTATTATTATTATTATTATTATTATTATTATTATTATTATTATTATTATTATTATTATTATATTATTATCAAGTATATATTATTCTTTAATAAGTAAATTAGATATTTTTTGTTAAACCCAAAAATATTGTAAAGATCCTTCTTCATAAGATCATTATGCGAAATTTGTCCCGAGTTTGTTCTTTCATCAATTTTAATGTCTCCAGATTTATCGTCTCAACTTCTCGTACTTTAAATACACGAGCATGAAGCTTGCAGTATATTCCATTGATAACTTATTACGTACACAATACAGTAGTTATTATTGAAACCTCGATGTCGATCCATTAATTTTGGTGCCGTATAAACTTTTTTTTTTTTTTCAAAATCATCTCTATAGCTTTAATAAAATGAATATACTGTACGTAAAAATACAATAAAACTAAGAGATTTGACAATAAATCGCGTACCTTGATTCATTTTTTCACCCTCCCCTTTTTTTTTTGTTATAATTTTTTTCAATGGTTATCGGTTTAAAATTTATTTCATTCGGTTAAATGCACAATTAAAAAGAAATTTAAATTATTTATAATCGATTGACGTGAATTTAAGATGGTTAAATGTATTCTACAAATATTATTTGAGATATTAAAGAATTTTTTAAATTAAATAAGCAACACATGACATGATAAATCGTTGTTTTAATAAAGCAATTTAAAATTATAGTGATTTGTCATCTTGACTTTTTATTTTTAACTTTTATATGATCATATAATATGTACAAAAGTCAACAAATAAAATGTATAATTAAAGATTCAATATAATTTTTAGTACACGAAAATAGGTCATCCTTATTGGAAAACTATAGTGAATAAAACACTACCTCTTCCATAAACAAGTTATAAAAGTTCTTCTGATGCCCATTATTCTTCAGATTATTTAAAGCTACCATTTTTTGCATTTGATTACATCCCTTTGAATTAACAAAAACTTCATTTTTTTTATTGATATTGGATTGCTCGAGTGAGTCGTGTTCAATTCCTCAATACTGTATAGTTTTACCTTCATTAATTTTCGGAAAAGTCAATTTATTTTCTTTTATTACGGGAAGAAGGCGAAATATAATCGTGGAGAGAAATTTACCTAAACTTAGTGGTTCAAATATACAGTATTCGTACATGTTTCTACATACCGTACTTTACTGAAAATCACCAGCCTTGAAACGTATAACATTACAACATTTGATTCATTGTTTTGCATGTTTTCGAACCCGAAGTTCTTTATCGAATAAACATGTCTTCTTATAAACTTTTTAGAAGATTATCCACCGACCTTACTAGACTTCTTAATAATGAAAACGATTTTGATATAATCATTGAAGTCGGTAAAGCACTTTTAAGTAAAAAATTTAAATTGCACTCTCTCATTCTAAAAAAATCACTGTTCTCTTATCTCTGACAAGCTAAAAAGAATCGGAGTAATTAGAAAGCCAGATATTTCTATTCAAGTCTTCGAAATAATTGCAAAGTAAGTACTTTACCTAACTTTATAACTAACTTCTTGTATAATTAATTGCATTAAGTATTTTATGGTGCCGTTTTTTCTAGATAAGTTGGAGAGTCAATCATATTTGATTTATTGGTAACCGCCAATGAACTTAATCTCGATGAATTGGTGAGCTGCATTCGACAACTTCTTGTTAAGAACCATTCAGACTGGTTTCGTTTAAATTTTTCTCGTGTTCTAAAAGAAATAGAGAAATTTTGTGATGATATTATTATTAAACATCTGTCTTCAATATTTAACTCTAACAATTTTAATTTATTGCCTGAAAATGGCAATCAAATTTGGAACAATGTGATCCAATGGGAAAAGGCACAAAATACAACTCTACCGAGTAGCCTCGAGAAACGGTCTGATGAAAATTTTACGACTTTAAAGTCCACTTTGGAAAATCCTTTGCCGCTTATTCGATACCTTCATATTCATAATGAAGATTTAATCCGTAAAGTTAAACCTTACATTTAAGCGTCTGATCCGATCCCATGGGACGATATCACTTGCAAAGTGATGGACCCGAACTATCCGATTTCCTCAAATAGTTTATTGCATCGTAACATTAATGCTGTATCGCCAATTAGAATAGAGAATAATAAGAAATAAAAATTATTATTAAGTAACATTGTTTATTATAGATTTCTTTTTTATAAAAAATTAACCCGCTATCAGGTAACTTTTGTAAACTGTACATGATGTAATGTAATATGTATCATATGTATCACTAAAGTTAATTCTCCAACTGACTCACTCGTCTTAGTTTTATCTACTCTAAGTGCAACTTTAAGAGTGATTATTGTTTCATTAATAGTTCAGGTGAAAATCCTTCCAACTATCAATATCACATATGCAGATCATATTTGCTTCTTTAATTAAATTCTTTTTCATTAGAATTATATAAAGGTTTGATTTATTTTGATTAATTACAAAAATTTATTTGATTAGTTTCAATATATAATTACTGTATTTTTTTTAGTTCTTTTCTAAAATTTGTTATTGGTTAAGCTCCTTTTCTAGTTATATTATTCTTTGTTTGTTATCACCCTTTTTTTTTTTCATCTGTTACTGATGATATTTATTATATAGTCTCTAATTATAATTATTTTAGAGAAAATAAGAAATT